AGCATCATAGACATACATAGAACACTTCATTGTCTGCTGTTGGATTCCTACTGTCACGCAGGGCTCGTGAGCCCTCTTTTAGGTACCTCTTTTGGGCAGAACGATTCAGAAACCCCTGCGGAAGAACTCAAAGGCCTTAATGGATCTCCTGGGCTTGTTGTTTGGAGACTGCATTCCCATGTTTGGATTCTTGTTCAAGGCCTTTTTTGGGCTGTTTCAGGATAAACTCGAAACAATCCAGCACCAGCAAGCAATTTCGGGGGGTTCTCTTTGTTTGAGACAAACCCATGGCTCATGGAACATCAAGCCCCGCCTTGGTGCCAAGCCAATCGATGTTCTTCGGCTCGGCACCTTGCAGTCGACTTCATGAAAAGAAACAAAACATTGGTTGATGTTGTTTGGTTCCGGTTGACCAAGGGAACCTCGCTAAACAAGGGCAAGTTTATGCAACATCTAGTTGACAATTACTCTTCTGCTGATTGAATTCAAAAGGAAGCGCGCGGGAAAAAAACCAACAAAACAAAAACAACAACACACGGATGCAGGCTTCAGCTGGGCCGCCCTTGTGGAAGGTGCATTTCTTGAAGGGGAAAATGCCCCCGGAGCAGACGGGAGTAGAGGCGGTGGCAATGGCGAGGGTATCTGCGCCCTTCATCACAGCCGCAAGCGACGCTGGCCTCACTGCCAGGGTCCCAATTTCCATTTCTCTGTATTGCTTTGGTTGGTTGGCGCCGTGGGGGGAGGGGTTGCCAACGTGACAGGGTACGCCAGGTGCGCCGGGTCGACTTGTGGCGACCAACTGGCAAAAGTAGCTAGTCAAATCCATTTTGTCTGGGCTTCCTGTTCGGAATGCGTGTTTTGAGCTTTGAAGCACCCAGCCAGTGACGTGCGGCCAAACTCGTTGAGTACAAGTCATTGCCCCGATGTACAATGTCTCTTATGTACCTGATTGCTGCAAGCACCGCCACCAGCGAACAAACGTAGCTAACATACGCACCATGTGGGGACAGCTAACAAGGACAGCACCAGGAAGCAAGCAGGGTCAAGGAACTGCCAATCAGCTGGACCGTGATGAGCCATCAAGGCCCTCAACGCAACACCTCAAACCACCAAACAAAAACCTAAAGCTTGATGTGGGTACAGTATGTGTATGAAAATAGAGGGACCCCCCACACACCGCAAATTCCTGCTGCTTTCCTTTCGGCTTCCCTTACAAACCAAACAAAGTTTCGCTGAAGAAAGCCACGTCTTCCCAGTGGCTCGGTGATGTCCCCAACAAAGATGCCGTCGCTCGCGTTGCAGGCGGTACATCCGAGGATCTCTCGCGCTTTGGTGACCTGGGTGAAAATTGGGGAGGCGAGACACAGGGGCGACATAGGGCCCAGAAAGGCTAAAGACTGACCAAATCCCCAACAATCCATGTAGCTATGCCCACATTTACCCTTGAATTGAAAGGAGCTACATGTTAGTATTTGTTTTCTTTAATATAGAACCTACATGGATTGTCTGGGAATCCTCCTTTCGGATTCAGAAATTATGGCTAGTTAGCACGCTGATTGCAAAGCTTTAAAGCTTTTGGTTGATGTTAGATTGTGCCAAGCGTTTGGAGCGGGGACATTGCCATTCACAGCCTGCGCAAAGCCAACTCAAAACCTGCCGCGCGGGTTGAAGTACGGCACACCTTCTTGCAGAGTTGACCGATACACGTTTATATATTTTCCCCCAAAAGCATCTGTATGTATAATACATTTATAATAGAGAGCGAGACAGCGCGCAGAGCAACGCAAAGTAAGATCGCCTGCCTCTTGCACGGGGGGATAGTGAGCAACGTGACACAAATAGATAGCACACAAGACTTGGTCTGCTCAGTGCACAGAGAGACAGCCCATAGAGCAACATGTCAGATAACACACACACACACACAACACGTCGTGCGCACAGAGACGCGGAAAAACCTTCTTCGTGCGTATAAATGAGATATCTTGCCACTTCACGTAAGATATAAGTGTTCAAACAAAGTATCTTTGTGCGCGCGAGCAAGCAAACGGCGCAGAGCTGTGGGGCCAGAATCCCTTCTCGAAGTTCAAAGCGGTGTTGACCCCGTATTCATCATTTTCAGGATACCACTAGGTTGGCTCTACCAATCAACCAACACCAAGCAACAGGGGTCACAGGATTTCCTCTTTTTGCTGACTAGTGCAAGATCCCAACACGAAAACTAGCTTGGCATCTGTTTGCAGAAAATCCTAGAAGGTGAAACACAAATATCTGAAACTGCCACTTTTGGCAGGTCGCGGGGATGTTTGTTGAGGCCACTAAACAAACAAAACAACAACACAACAATAAAAAATGAAAACAACAACAGTAATCACAATAAAACACATAAAAAAAAAAAAGAAAGACAAAACACAACAAACACAAACAAACATGAAACACCACAAAAAGCCCCGCTACCCCCCCCCCCCCCTTTTTCCCCCCGAGTGCGGCCCTTTTGGCGGCT